GTAATATACAACTAGGTTTCCTATTTATAGTAATTATCTAAACTATTTAACTTTGAAGAGCAGAAAATCTTGGGTGACTTTAAATGACCCTAATGACTTTATCTGCTCTACTAAACCTTGCAAAATTTACAGTAACCTCTCATTATCAAAAAGCCCTCACCTTCACTCAGCTGTGGCCGTGGCAGGGCTTCTCTCAGACTATCCAGTGGCCCCCCCAACAGACGCAGATTGCTGATGTGCAGGTTCATGGCCCGGTGGAGCTCCGTGTTGGTAAAACTGGCCTTCTCGTGAGCCTCCATATACTTCTCAAGGTCTCTGCGGATTTCAGCCAGAGCCTGGCCCTGGGCAGCTGGGTGCAACTCACCCACAGCAGGGCCACCAACTTCCTGGAGGGCTCGCTCACCTGCTTCATCCACCTCTAGCACATCTCTGATCTCTTTCAGTGAAGACTCCACATCAGTAAAGACACCAGAGAGCACTGTGCAGGAGAGGACATGAATAGTTATGAAAATATTGCAAAAGTTTGGGGGAAAAAATGTGGCTTTTAGTTATCAAGAGATCATGCATGCTTAATTTTGTACATGCATATTTGTGCAAACTATTATGGACACACACCACTCGCTAGGACAGTTAAAGGTCAGCAATATTTTAATGTTGTGACATGAAATAATCTTCAATTCAGCTTCAATTAGCTGTAGGGACAGCAAATTATCAATAATGACCCACAATTTTGCTGTTTGTCATCGGATGACCTACTCACTCAATTGCTTCAATTAAGAGACAACTGTTTCATAAGAATGTAGCTTTTCTAAATCAAAGTGTTTGATTAAGTTATTGAGCACCAGCTGCTGTAGCTGGGAAAAACAATTCCAGCTGTTGAAATTTGAGGGTTTCGCTTCTTCACTGTGTAACCTCTGTGCACTCTCATAATAAAAGATAGCAACTGCAATTGTTAGGTCTGCTGTGCTTGCCTGTGGCACTCACCTTGCATGGACTGAATGAGGCTCTTGACGGTGTCAGGACGGACGCTGAGGGCAGCACACTTCTCCATCAGGACCGGAGGAAGGTGGTTGTACATATCGAGGTTGTCTACAGACTCTGGCTCCAAGCCTAGAGAGTCCATGAACTGCCTGTAGAAGGAGGAGGCAATAACAGTTACCTAATACTGCAACAGAATCAATTAAAATTAAAACAAAACCCTAGTATTTTAAGTACTTTAGTATTTAATGTGGGTATCGATTAAAAGTTTTGCTGAACCAAGATTGGTTCTTATTTAAAATTCAACTGGGGGAAAGAGAGATATTGAGTAAGCCTTAGTTCACTTACCACTTGAATGCAAAATTAATGACACATTATACTCACTCTAGTGTTTCATTCTTGCTTTCAATCTTAGCCATCACATCCCTCAACAGCTTGGCCTTTTCTTCACTGAAAAAAAAATACATAAGATATAAAAAATGAACATGAATAACGTACTAAAATATGATTGGGGATATTTTCCCATTTCTAGGATGAACTTGACATCCACAGAGGGAGCCTACCTGTACAAAGAAGAGGCTTCGTGGGCAGCCATGGGCACCAGTTTGGCAAAAAGGTCTGGTCCAGTGACAGTCGGGTCGGTGGGATTGACCGGCAGAGCTTTCACCAGAGGAGCACCTAGAAAGACAAAAAACATTTATGTAATAGCGCAGATGAGCATAAAAGGAGAGCATGTAACCAAATGCATTCAAAAGAAGAGACTACTGTCATTTTACTTTTTAGCATCGCTTGTACCTAATTTTACTCTTACATCCCAAACGTGGGGCAACTTGATTCAACAAACATAAGTTTGTCTTAATGAAATAAAAATATTCACAAAAAAAAAATCTGTGGTAACATCTCAAATCTGAATATTTAAGAATGTCTGCAGTATTATGACAGAGTAAATCACTTACTTTGGTTATGGGAAAATTAACCAACCAAGAAAAAGCAGTTTAATCAGTCAATAAAGTAGACTGATACCCTAACGTAATTTGAAAAAAATGCTTGGCCACTGGTCTGTTTCAAAACAGAGAATCATGTTCTGCCCTCAAAACATCTCTTTATTGCATTTAGTCATTAGTAGTTATTAAACTCTCTGAGAAACTTTTGTTCTGTCTCTCTCTGCTTTCTGCTCTTTCCTATCACCTCAAACTGGTCGCAGCAGATGATTGGTTCTGCTGGAGGTTACTTCCTATTAACGGCGAGTTTTCCCCCCATAGGGGGTTTTCTAATTGTTGAAGTTTCTTTCTAAAATTGTGGGATCTTCTCCCTACAATAAGAGCACACTGAGATGACCATTTGTGAATTTGTGCTATATAAATAAAATTGAACTGAACTGAACATAATTCAATTAATTGATGGCTTATTTCTCAAAAAGGGCCTAATCTAGAAGAAATGGTTGTCAACTTTTCCATTTAAATATAAAAACTGGCTAATATTAGCTTTGACTGTGCATTACTGTTGGCCAGGCATAACATGACATGCAAAACTATAACAGCACTACTTTAGAAACTACATATACATTAAAATCCATGAATTTTACTTAGTGAAACCTGATGATTAAAATAATTATATCCAAGGAAAACAGAAAACAAAGGCACGACACCAGGATAAAAATGAAGGAAGATATACAAAAACATATTCATACACAGTGTATACATATTTGCAAAACCCTATATGCAAAACCAGTTTTGCATGTACCGACTGAGCGTAACATACTGATGCTTCCTGTTACCTTTTACAGAGGCTAGAGTCTCCAGAGACGGAACAGTCTCATGATAAATGAAATCATTGTCCTTTTTGGCAGAGTTAAACCTGCAAGGTCAAAGAAAAAAAAAAAGCTCAAAAACCGCTGATGATCATGAAGTGGCCAAAACTGTTAACTAAGAGTTTTTGCTCACTTTCCACCGATAACATCCATGGTGAACCTCAGGGCCTCTTGCACGCTGTCAGGTTGTCCCTGGTTGTAGTAGGATAAAAGGAGAATTCAGAACGCGTGATTGAACATCTTTTTTCTAAATCACAGAGTATGTTTCCAGTAATAGGAGGTCTATGCATCTGTATGACGCATGTCTGCAAAGACAACTTCAGAAAATTTGATTCTCCCAAAAACATTTGAAGTTCAAGTGTGAAAACAGTTCAAGGATAGTTTAAGTTACACTAAAACGACCTAAGCATGGATTGCCGGGAAGGTAGAGAGAAGTAGTACCTTGGCTAGTTTGACGGCTTCATTGAGTTTGTCCAAGGAGCTCTGCAGGTAAGCCAACTGTGGGGAAAAATGAGCATTTAAGCCATTTAACCGACAAATAAACATGACTCAACAAAACCAACTAAGAAATTGGTCAAACTAACTGAAACAGTTTTACCTCTAAAATTTAAAATAAAATTAACCATTGTGACACTCAAACGTCATGTTTAATTCAGATTAAAAGAAACTATTCCCTTATTAGTACCAAGAAGGAAAGAGTTTCTTTCCAGTTTCCCTGGATGTCAGGAAAGGGTACATGTCACTAATGTCACTAGTTCCTGGTGGCAGGGTGCCAGTAAGACAGGAAGAGTCTTCATTCTTACATATTTGTTTTTAAACATAAATAAATCTATAAGGTAACATAACCACTGTGCTCTAATGTGCCGCCACCAACCTCCACAAACCAAATGTTAGTCATAGGTATTGGTTTGTTAATAGTGTGATATTTTCTCATTTTCACATTCTTACTAAGATTAAGATAAAGAATATCCTATTACCTCCTGACAACAGTGGAAAAAAATGTCACGTCACTGTCTTTACAGTTAGGCTAGTTCAACTGCATACTAGCTTAACCCAGCTTTATACGCAGCACACAGACATGTTAAAAAAAAAGGTCAAAGAGTGTATTTCAAGAAATGCAAAACAACAGTTTTTTAAGCGATGACGAGCTGGCATTTTTAGAGTGCTTGCCACTCAAAGCACTATGCGCTGTGTGCACTTTAACCACTTTAAAATCACCAACAACCAAATAAGAGTTATTCGAATGTGGGAGAAAGCCACAGTGTTCAGAAGAAACTCATACGGGCATATGGTGAACATGAAAACACCACACAGAAAAGCCCCGTTTGATTTGAACCCAGGACCTTCCTGCTTTCAGGCAACATTGCTAACCACTGAACCAGCTTGCCACTCAAAGATTTGCAGCACCAGGTGGGCTTCCATACATGTGCTAACCAGGAAAAAAAAACTTAGGCCAAAGATCAGACCACAGCGGACTCGCTATGTTGATGTGGCTGTAAGGAAAATGATCAGCTGGAAACCCTCAATTTGAGCAATACATGTGCATTAGTAGAGATTATAATACAAAAATATCCTTTCTAATCTAGTTAAAGAAAAAATACTTGTTTGTCTTTATTTCAGTTGAACTGTTATACAATTAAATGTATTAATAACATTAGAAAATGGGAAAATTTTTAAATTATATCAGCACTAATTCCTCTTGAGGGGAATTTTAGTTATATCAGTAGCAATGCAGCAAAATATGACTGCACAAATATAAACCACAGCACCCTGACAGTGGAAAATAAATAATGCATCTGTGTGTTAGTCGTACCCGTTCTCCATACTTCTGCTGCTCCTCTGCCTGTTTTCCCATATGAAGCTGTTGAGAGAAGCGAAAGCAATTACTGAGACCAAACTCAGCACACACAAACAAGTGCATACATGTAGGGAACTAATTTCCCCCATAAACACTCACATGCGCGATAGAAGCAAAGTAATAAATCTTCATCTGAACCAGTTTCTTCCAGTCTTTCTGGATCTTTCCCAGCATGGAAGCTGTCTCCGAGTTCTCCAGAGCCCTGCATGCTTCTTTGTAGTAATCCACCACCTGTAGCACCAGGGCCGCAGTTATTAGCATTTAATATTAAAATGAATGATGACTATATGATTCATATTTAATGGTAAGAAGTCAACCTGAGCACTGATGCGAGCAACCAGGAAACTCTTCCTGTTGTCCAACATGGACTTCTCCAGAAGACATTCCTGAGCCTGGCCCTGCGAGAGAGACCAAGGTTAAGGACACTCATTTGTTTTGTGTGTGTATTTTAATCCATGCATGTGCATGTAGGTGTGTAATCTACCAGCATAAGGTTGATGTTGAGGTTCAGAATCTGGTGGCTCATATCCACACTGAAGTTGTGGCTGAAATGGTCTCTGAGGTAGGAGAAGGCTCCTGCTGAGCACTGGAAATGAGTGCAGGACACCTTCATCCCCTAAAAATGAAACAGAAAGAGTCAGTGGGACTGTGTGAGCCAACAAAATGGCCAGAATTACTCTGCGCCCATGTATGTGTCTCTCTTACCTCCTCAGATACCCTGTTGTCCATGGCTCCCAACATGGAGTGCAAAGCCCCTGCAGACAATCCACAGATAAGTTTGGTGGAATTTGTAGGTTTTGTTGTTCACATTCAGTAAATAATTGGCATATAAGCTGAAAATTATCTGGATTTCTCTGCATTGTTCTTTAAAGGTAGTGATTTGTGTGACACGCTCAACAGTGGCATGCCCCTACAGCATATACAAAGTGGTACTGAGGGGTTTCATGTACAAATTTCACATTAACTTCTGAAAATCTCCAACACCATGAAGAAAAAGCGATTGTTTGTGTCAACCATAGAATTCTGAAATAACACAAGTCAAAGCTAACACAAGTAAACACAAAATGCAGTTTCTAAATGAAGGTGTTTATTATTAAATTATTATGTTATGACATCAATTAAAATGGTAAATGGCCTGTATTTATATAGCGCTTTACACATCCTGTCATCCACCCATTCACGCACACATTCACACACTGGTGATGGCAAGCTACATTGTAGCCACAGCCGCCCTGGGGCGCACTGACAGAGGTGAGGCTGCCGGACACTGGCACCACCGGGCCCTCTGACCACCACCAGTAGGCAATGGGTGAAGTGTCTTGCCCAAGGACACAATGACCGAGACTGTCCAAGCCAGGGCTCGAACCGGCAACCTTCCGATTACAAGGCAAACTCCCAACTCTTTGGAAAGCTGAGTTTCTCCCACCACACCCAGGCGTGATTACTGCCACACCTGTTCTCAGTCAAGAAATCCATTAAGTAGGCCCTGCCTGACAAAGTGGAGCAGACAAAAAAATATAATGAATTCTGCTGTCTACCAAAAAATCCTGAAGGAGAATGTCAAGCCATCTGTTTGTGACCTCAAGCTGAAGCGCACTTGGCTTTTGCAGCAGGACTATGATCCAAAACATATCAGCAAGTTGGTCTCTGAATGACTTGAAAGAAAAACCAAAATGATGATTTTGGAGTGGCCTAGTCAAAGTCCTGACCTGAATCTGACTGTGATGTTGTGGCACAACATCGAAAAGGCGCTTCATGCTTGAAAACCCTCCAATGTGTCTGAATTACAACAATTCTCCAAAGATGCTTCTACAGTGTTGTAAAAGACTCATTGTGAGTTATTGCAAACGCTAGATTGCAGTTGTTGGTGCTAAGTTATTATGTATTGGGGGTAATCACTTTTTCCCACAGGGAATCTGATTAAAATATAATTTAACAAATACTACAGTACTGAGCAAGACAGCATCAGGAGTTCCAATCAGTTACTTTCATGTTTTTCATTTTTTGTTTTGTTTTTTTAAACTGACATGTTCAGATGCGTTTAACTGTTACAGTTTATTACTATTATTGACTCTAAGTGACTCACCCAGATTGTAGAGGATGCAGGCTTGCTCATAGCTGATGTCATCATGGGTGACTGTTTTTCCAGAGAAAATTTCAGTCCTGTTTTCCAAAGAAAATAGAAAAGTATTTTTAAAGAGAATAAAATGCCTGAACAATATTATTGATTATTGAATATATTATTGATTTCTAAACCATAGTATTAGAATGACACTGTATTCATAGGCACTACAGAAAAAACACTGAAGGACTGCATTAATTAAATGTAGTTGAATTAAGTCTAAATTAGAATTTAGCAGTACAGGTTTGCACGCCTAATGTCAGTTCATTCATTCTATCCACATCCCAACATTCAGCAACTAAGCCAGTGTGCTGACACTGCTCTCTACGAGCAAGCTGCAGTGAGTGTGTCTCTTAAATAAGCTTCTCTGGTGTTCAGCAGTACAGACTGCAGTTGGATGGGTATGTATAAACACTCCATACAGTTTCTGTGGATTCCTGTGTGTTATTACCATGAGATGGGTACTGCAGCCTCCTGGCCGGTTCCCATGGGCACCCGGCTCTGCAGATAATGCAGCTGGCCAAAGTACTTCCTCAGTGTGCTGCATCCCTCGAAATCCCTCGTCACATTCACTGCGCTCTGCGAAGCAGACACAAACACTGTGTTTCTGTTGTGTTTAATCAGCTACAAAAATCATTACTCTTGCAAAGACGCTGTGACCCAGCCCAGCGATGAATTATGTAACAATGGGTTTCAGTGCTTAATGCTCAGAATTTATCATTTTCCTTGACAACACTTCAAAAGGCCTCATTATGATATGATTGATAACTTGTATCAGAATGTTTTGTATTGAAAATCCCTGTCCACATGGAAATACTATTATTAATGTAAAACTGCACACGTATGACTATACATGATGATCTTAACCTCATCACAAAACAGACAGTTTGTAGTTGTGATGCACTGGATGGAGGTTTCTTTTACTATCTGGTTGGGATTGTGAGTGTTAAGGTTAAATATTAATGACTTTATGTGATAACCAAGTTTATTTGTCACAATTTTATTTACACAGTCCTTTCAAGGTGCTTTATAGTGAAAAGTATACACCGTGCAGTGTTAGAGAGAGAATCCCAATAATCAAAAGATCCCCTGTGAAGAAGCACTTAGCAATGGTGGGAAAGAAGAACTGTCAACAGAACACGGCGTCCTGCAACAAACACTATAACCCCGGCAATATGCCAGTAAGGACTCATAGCCGTATGTGAACTATGCCTGGAAGTTGGGAACACTTAATTTCAGGATCGATGAAATTGCCTAAAAGTGAATTCCACTATATTCAATAGCAACCCACATAACGATGGGCAAGTCCGAGTCACAGAAATCTGACTGAGAATACTTTGACACAGTGCTCACCTGCCGCAGCGTCTCCAGTTTCTTCAGCTGTTCGTTGTAGTTGTCCGGATTCTCTCCATAGTTCTTTAAGATGAACTAGAGAAAAAGAAGCAGAAGCAAGAAGTAGGTGAATGTGCTGCTGAAACTCAGGTAAAAACAAAATTAAATGAACGGTTAGATCCTAATAAAGAAATAAAAATATCATCTCTAATACTGAGGGTTAAATTGTTTAGAAAAAAAATTCAAATGTCTTTGAACTGGGGCTCATAACTCATTATGTTAATCTTTAGTCTTGAGCATAAGCCAAGCACTTAGACTCTTGGAGCTTCAAGACTTCCCATCATGCTTTGCCAGGACTCACACTGTCCCCCATAAGCCACTACAATAAGCTTTAAGCTACTAATTGTCAGGTCAGGAGGTAAACAGCCCTGCAGATACACTGATTCTTCTACTAGTGCTTTTGTTTCAATTTTAATTCAATCATGGACAGGTCACAATGACAAAGCAAGAAGACAGACACAGTCACGTTGTTACTCCTTCAGGCCAAATATGTGCTGTTGTGCATTAGTTTGGGGTAAACAGAGAAAATGTTGGTATTTTAGATACATTTTTAAATAATGTTGTTTTGATCGACTACCCCTTATTTAAAGGCTACACTTTTAAGGCCAATAAAAATAATAAAATAATCATTCTTAGTATTTTTTAAGAAAACACTCTGCCGTTAAATTAAATCAAAATAAGTCTTCCTATTACCAAAAAGAATTACTAATAAGAAAGTCTGAAACTGCATCTCCGCCTCCACAGTGGCTAAAAATATACTCCACACCATGTATGAACTGAATCCTTGGACCTAAAAGGATGTCTGGATCCAGATCAGTTTGTGACATTTTTGTGGAAACATCAAGATAACGTCTCTCGAATTTGCTTAGATAAATCTGAAATACATTTGTGAAACTATGATCCCACAAGTGCAATTTTGTTCTCTGTGCCATAACGACTTGCTAACAAACAAACCAACCACATAACCCCTCTGATTATTGTATTTAGTCATGAGGACAAAGTCCTTTTACGTGCATGAGGAAGAAGTTTGGGAAGACAAATGAGTCACCAGGTAAAGATGATACCAGCTTTAAAAAGCAGTCAAATGATCTGGAGTTTAAATATCCGAGATGAGTTTTGGAAGGAGCATGCCTAAAAAAATCTGTTTTTATTTTTTTTTTTTTTTTTTCAGGTTAGGGGGGAATTCCTTTTTTGCCCCCCCCCGGGATTGGTTTTTTTTGCCCCTTTAGGTTTTTATTTTGGCCCACTGGGAAAACCTAGGTTTGGCTTTGGTTGTTCCCTTAACCAGGTTTTTTTCCTGGATTGGTTTTGAAGGCCCCAAAAAGGGGCCGGAATTTTTTTTTTTTTTCTTTTTTTTAAAGAGTCATTATCTTCCATATTTGTCCTCTACAATTTTGTTTGTTTCTGTTTTTAAATGGCTTTATTTGTTTTTAACATGCGCTACATAACAGGATAGCCCACCTTTCTTACGGTTAAGGTAAGAAGTAGCGTCACAGGTGTAGTGACAACTTTCCCTGTGTATTTCGTTATAGAAGCTTATGTAAACCCGTGTTTATTATTAAGCAGGCTGGTAGTTTGAATAGTACAAACTGCTCCGCTCGCTCAGGTGCATGTGACAATGAGATCATTGTTTATTATTCTCATGTCGGAAGGCTGACTCGAGGCGTAGGAGTCCTAGAAATACTCACATATGCCTTTCGCGTTGGCAGTATTTTGATCGATTCCTACAAAGCTAGCCACTTAGCTGAAAGCTAAATATCAACTTGAGTTTTTAGCTTATTACCAGCTAGCAAGCAGCTTGCTAACGTTAGCAAACAAAGGCAGTGAGCAGGAGGGGTTTGCCTGACACAGACCTTTGCTAGCACGTCAGCTACCCGTTCTGGAAAAATCTTTTACCCTCGACAGGTAGCGACAACTGTTGCTTTGAGTTATGGCTAGCGGTATCCACTTGATAAGGTTATCCCTTCGTTCATAATCCTTGTTTAATTGACTTTCGACCTCAGCCCTGTTGCTCCACTCCCCACCCAGCTCACCTGCCTCACGGACGGGCTGAACTGGAACTCCCCAGCCTCTTTCAGATCCAGCCAGATCATAGGCATCCGGGGGACCGCCTCCATCGCGGCCGAATCTACACGGAGCTCTCAGTCGGTGCGATGTCAAAATCCCGCTGACAAATTTGTGGACGTTAACGGTTTTCCTGAAGATAGCTTTTCCCCCAAACAACTGTGTCATGTATCCATTTACACTTCAACCGGAAACTGGAAACACACGTGACGTAGGCCTTAGATATGCTTGCGAGCGTTTCTGGGAAATGTAGTTTCTGAAGAAACTAGACTTAGGATATAAATCACACTGGAAAGTAGCTAAAGTATAATTTTATTATACAGCCACAAATTTAAAACATTTACAACTAAATATTTTATAGGAAAAAGTGAACCCAATATAATTGATTTTCTTGTATCAGAAGAAATGAGAAAGATACAAATTTTTATACAAATTTAGTTTTTAACATATTACAGTAAATAAAAAAAAACTACAACTGCACATTAGTCTTTATACTAATTGTTTAATTAAACCATAAGGATTATTTTTTTAAGGAATAGTTTACCATGATACTCTTTTTTAAATGTTGAGCAGCCTATTGGTTATTTTATTTTCAGCACTTTACCAATGAGTGAATGATTCTCCTGGAGAGAACAGTAGTGCATATTGGGCTGCAGATGCTGGGGATCATAATGTCAGAGTTCTAAAAACAACTGGGTCACAGCCTGAGGCAGCTGTTACAGATTAATTATGGAATAATATTTAGCCTAATCCTTAATAAGATGCATGTGTATGCTCATCTACCTCCATGGAACACTAATTGTTTTGTCTTTACATTGTCTTTACAGACATTAGAGTTAAAATTATGCAAACTGGCAATGAAGTTCTAATCAATAAACAGTGTCACCTTTTAAAAAGGTTTTTCTGGGAACTAGTGGCAGTTTTTGAAGGCGCTGTGTATTTATTGCATGTTCACACGATCTCTGCATTTTAAAATAAGTGGAGAAATTGGAGCTTTCACCTTTTTATCTTTTTAAAACAGCCACGTCCAGGATAATTTATATTTATGAATTAAAGGACTGTTGCTAATGAAATGGGGCAGACCCATCTCCTCTCCTAAAGTAAAGTTGACTGTGTGAGTGAAAGTTATGATCATTTACATTTCTGTTACCGTGGAGTGTCAGCTTTGGCTGATAAGCTGTCATATTTGATGTAGTGTGTGAGAGAGAGCTGGAAACTCCCTAGTCTGTGACAAACTCATACATCATTCCCTTGTAATTACATAAAAAAGACAAACTTATGCAAGAGGGCTTTTTTTAGCCTGTAGGTTATGTTTATGGTAAATCTGAGATCTAGATGGTGACAGGAGTTCAGTTATAAGATGACAGAAGTTCTTTTGGAGTGGTAATTCAACAAAATATTACTGAAAGTGGAATGACAGTGTATAAATCATAGAAATTACTCTGGCTTAGGTTCTACACAAATATTTACCTACATTACAGCAGCTACCAGCCTTGAAGTAGTTATTAGATCAGTGAAGGTGCACTCAGTGTAGATAGACAGATAGACAGATAGATAGACAGATAGACAGATATATATATATATATATATATAGGCAGCTGGATAACGTACTGGATTGTTGCAATCATTATGTCCCAAGCTGCAAACCCGCCTCCCCCGTTTTTTGACATGACAAAAAAGAAAAACACACATTTTAAAAATAATAAATAATAGTAATCTGTAACCATCTTGCATGGTTTTCAGTAACGTCACCCTGTGCAGAAAACACCTGTCTTCATATGTGGTTATCTACAGTTGTTCTCACGTTCTCTTCATTCTTCTTCTGCCCTCTGTTGTGTTTTTCATTTTCTTACCACCAGAGGGCACTGTGTGCCTCTGTACAGAACAGCGTCAGAGCATCAACACCGAAGACGTGCCGAAAACGACGGCACTGCACTGGGAGGCTCCGCACGGCCACAGGGAGGTGGCCGAGCTCCTGCTGGGGTGCGGTGCAAACGTCCTCTCCCACAGCGAGCTCGACATGATGGATCCCAGGAACACTGAGCTGAACGTACTGCTACAGGTGGATGGATGGGGGTGAGGACGGAAAGAGAAAGACTGTGAGGGACAGAGGAATCCAGACAGTTAAGAACAGGGAAGCGTAAGGACAGTGTGAGAGAGTAAGGAGTCAGTAGAAAAGACAGATAAAGGATATTGAGGCAAAGTGGGGTGAATACAGACATAATGGTGAGATAAAAGAGGGAAGATGAACAAAGCAGGCGAAGAGGGCATTTTAAAGATGAGGGGGGACTTAATAAAGAGGGACCGAAGAGATATAAGGACATAAGGAGAAAGATAGGTTAAGGACAGAAAAGCTGGGGCAAGTCAAGTTAGGTCATCTGGGTTTCTGGCAGCATCTCAGACACATAACATTTTGGCACAAGGTTATTAAACAAGATAAGGGAACAGGAGACAGTGAAAAAGACACAAAATGACCAAGCACATTTCAGCCAAGGCAGGTAAAAAATGAACACAGAAGGGAGAGCGAGATGGACAGATAGATGAAGGCGGAAAGGCAAGGAGACAGGGATGGATAAATCAGGGCCCTGTGAGAGAGGAGGGAGGGAGAAAGATGGACAGAGATTATAGGGACAGCAAAACAGAGAGGAAGGATGAGGAAGAAGAGAAATGGTGAAGCCGGGGATATTAACAAAAAGGGCTGATGGTGGAGGACGAAAAGTCAGAAGACTGTGGGCCTGCAGGCGCCAAACATGTAGGCATGGGCCCCCTGTGATTTCCAAAATACGTCTGATGTTTTCTAAGTGCGACTAGCGAAGCCCCAGTTTGACTGGTGTTGCTATGGTTTCAATAGCCATGCAGCCTCTGTCTGTCAGATGTTGCAGACTGTTTTTTACCATAGCACCCACATTAAGACGCCATTTCACAATATAGAGGATTAGACCCAGTGATTATTAAAATAACAGTTAAATGGTTGTGGATTATATTAAAATGGGTGGACACGGACACATTTGGAGATTTTAAAAGGCCCACGTGCTTTCCTACCAAGGTTTTACATAATTGAGGTGTGTGGGGGCTCTCAGGCGATACGTAGGAGGCTCTAGTTATCATTAGATAACTTATCTGCCTTATCAGGACTCTTCATCTAGCCAGACTAGAGATAGTAGGGCCTCGAGCAAAAGCAATGGATGACCCATGCGACACGGTTGCATACAACAGGGCACCGATACAGAACGTGTTTATGAAACATAAACACCCACGAGGAGGGAATTCATGACTTTGTGAAGGATGAATCACTGTAAGCGCACATTATGCCAACATGAGTTCATCGTCGAGAGTTAACTTGTTAAATGTTTTTATCATGTCCAGAGAGCACAGACACTCTGTTTTTTCAAGTGGTATGCAGATGTCTCTTTCAGATGAGGTGCACTAAATTCAGACAGGATTCATTAATAGCATGATTTACTTTTTTGCAAAAGAGAATATGGTACAATCAATATAATGCTTTCTTTCTAATCCTAGGCACTTGCTACTCTTTATAAAAAGTGCTGTCACATTCAGTTACTAAGTATTTGCCTCCATCCTGATTCCTTTTTTTTTTTTTGTATTTTTGACATGTTTCAAATCATCAAATAGATTTTAATATTAGACACAGATGACTCACATAGATACAAAGTGCAGCTTTTAAATGATTATATCATTTAGTAAGGGGGAAAAAAGCTATCCAAACCTTTGTGAAAAGGTAATTGTCCCCTAAGCCTAATAACCAGTTGTGTCACCCTTGGCAGTTTGCCTTGACCTGTGTACATCCTTGTCCTTGTGTAGATTTGTTGAAAAAAATGTAAATCTTCTGAGGTTTCCCTCCTCTACATCTAAAGGGTCTATATTTTTCCAATGCTAGGCACCGCAGGACATCTGTAGAGGTCTGTCCATGTCCTGACTGTTCAGAGCTGTTTTGATGGCACAAGGAAAACACACTATCTGACAAATGGTTTGATTTGGGGGCAGATTGGTTTGCAGACTATTAGTAAATGCAATGGAAATTAATTTTACCTAATTGAAAACCACCAATTCCTTGTGTGTTTGCATAGGACAGCTTACAGAACCAGAAACAACTACATCTACGTCATCATCCATGCTGGTGGGATTGTCAACATTTCAGAACTGGGCCTCTACTTCCAGCAAGATCACGGCATGGAAGTGGAGGCAATGGAATATGTGAAAAGACACCTAACAAGACTTATCACATTATCTCGAGAGATAAAAAATGATTTCTGACAACAAACAAGAAAAAAAATTAAAAGTTACTGAACAGTAACTGACAACTGTTAAACAGAACAACTCAGAAAATGTTCTGGGAAGGAAACGCTTTCAACAGCTAACATTCATTTAGAGCAGCAATCATCCGCTTACACCTGTGAGAATAGAAGAACATCAAAAATGTTAGTATGCACAGCTTAATCCCTTTTTCCCTTTGTGGTTGTGTAACAGTTTGGCTTTGTTTCATTTTTGTACGGCAGCAAAGTGTTGGAGTGGTCCTTTGTGGCTGTTATCTAACAAAGCTAGCCAACTGTTGTCTTCAGACAAGGTAGAGAACACTGTGGATGCTGAGCGGGTAGAAATAATTCTTCAGCATGGCTGCACCATGGTGGGCTAAGGGTCATCTCTATACTGGTGAACCAGCAACAAGGAGCCAGCAGCTGTGGGCCAACAGTTTATCCTCACCCTGCTTTGGCAGCAGAGCGAGTGGGTTGTTTGTGTGCTCAGTGCTTTTGAATACTGATTAGGAGGTAAGGGAGATCAGACATGCACTGAAATTATAATAATTGTAGCTAGTTTTGGTCAGCTCCTTTGGAAAAAAACCCTCAAAAAACAAAAGACAGGGCAATTAGTGGATTAAAACGTGATAACTATTAAACACATTAAAATGGGACACTATGGAGAATGCAAGCAAAATAGAGAAACTGATACAGCATACCAATCTCTCAGTGATGATTCCCCAGTAGCATGTCTGACAATCTCAAGGTGACATTCACTTTAAAGTGAGAGTGAGAAAACTTGTCTTCTTCTTCCTTTTTTAAAGGAAAGTTAAATTCAGTATAGAGCGCGTCTTAGAGTTCAAAGACTAATTGTTACAAAATATTTTCATCCCTAAATGTATGTGCATATTTGCATGTACATTATATGCTATA